CTATATCTCTTCAGACCATTTTTTTCTATGCATGTTCGCCAAGCATTAAACATATACTATTGCTAAAGAACAGCTAACTCAAATTCTTTTTCGCTCTTGTCAATGTCGTGAAAATATCCATAGCAAATTAATTAGTATGTCTCCTCTTTTGAATTAAACTTAAACTTTCTTATTTAGAAACAGTTTAGTCAGTTATATGAGCAACTATAATTTGTACCAGATTCGAACTAATAATCATAAGTGATACACTTAACTTACTATATATTTACTTTTGACCTTCGCTTGTTGATTCAATTTTTCTAATAATTTCCAAGATTCTATTTTTAATTTTTGACATTGGTTTATTTTTATTCAATATTTTTATTCTTTTAATTTTTAGTTCTGCCATCGATTGATTCATATGATGTACATCAATAAGATGAGTTCGAAGAGATGATGCTGAAAACCAATATTGATTTTCACAATCAACACGTAATGGACAAAAAAAACTTCGTCGTGGATCAGTAACCTGTAAATCATTCGGAATTAAACGTTTTCTAACTGATATTTTCGAATCAACAGCTCTTGCAATAATATTAGCAATAGGTGTTAATAAACTATGATATTGACGCATATGATTGCTTAAATCAGAGAAACGTTTTTTTCGACACAAACGATGAAAATGATGTTTTTGATTAAGACCATAGGAGCCATTCATCCATAGTGGACATAGACCAGCAATTCGATGCATTGGAAGAATTGTGTTCTAAAAAAGAATAGAAAATATGCACACGATTACAAATATTCTTTTTACAATGTTATCATCATCATCATCGGTGGCAATAGTTGTTTTACTATAAGAAAAAAATACAAAAAACAAAGCGGAATCTTTTTGTATGAATTTAAATACTTGTTTGACTGGTTTCTTGCGTTTGTATTTTCAATACCTAAAATCAAACATGTGTTAAAAGTCGATTTTCACAATAAGAATCTACTTTTTCGTCTATGATAATCAGAGTCTATGATTAAACTATCAAAATAAAAACAATTGATATAGAGATAAAACATAGGAATAAACAAAAACTTGCTTTTGTAATCGATCAAAGCCAATAAATAATGATTCATCTTCTAAAAAATTTTTGATTTAACTATAACTGTCTTATCAAGTTGACTTTCGCATCACAAGTACATGCAATGGTTATACTATGTCTACGTAAAAGTTCATCCCTACATGTTGAGTCATCCCAGAACTGGACATATAAGAATTCAAAGTAGTTAATTTTTGATTGAACAATATTGTGTGGACAATCTTTCAAATTGATTTTTTTTTATAATTGTTCAAGAGAACTTAAGCTATACAAAAAAAAACCCAAAACACAAGCTACATTTTGATACCGACAATTGAATAATGTATATGTGAACTCTTTATCATTGCTACATCATCACTTACTTGTCTTTCCAACATATTATATTCAAAAGAGCATCTGACACTTTATAAGATAGAACATGATTAAAAATTTCCTAAGACATGTTTCTTTTTTGATTTTGAAAGTTCATGTTCTGAAAAAATTCCTACGTCAGATGCTCTTTCTAAATAGGGTATTTGAAAAGAAAAATTAGCCATGATGTAATAACAATCATACAGAATTTACACAAACAGTGTCAGTTATCTGTCATCAAAATGTTGCGTGTGTTTTGCTTCTTCTATTCGTATGGTTTCAGTTCTTTTTGAACAGGTATAAAAAGAAAATCAACTTAAAAGATCGTTCACAAAATGGTGCTCAATAAAAAAAAACCGGCTATTTCGGATTGTTATATGTCCATTTCTACTATGATTTAATATGTAAGGATAAACTCTCTAAACATAATGTAAAAACTCAGTATACTTGTCATGCAAAATATATCTCAAAAGTCAACTTTATAAGAAAGAAATAGTTAAGTAAAAATCTTTCAAAAAATTTTGGACAGTATTGTATATTTAAAACTCATACTTTCTAAATCCATTGTCGTTGATGATGCGATCTCTTCAATCGGTTCAACTTTAACAATAGCTAATAAATGAAATAAAATATACAATATATTTTCAAAGAGACAAAACAAAAAAAAAAGTCTTACTCAAAGAATCACTTGATTGTTTTTGTTTATCATTAATTGTTTGTTTTAGTTTTTCAATAACTAATCGAAATTGTTCAATATCATTTGAATTATTTTCTAATAGAGTATTAACTTCATTTACTAATTTTTGATAATCATTTAATTTTTGTTCATATTCATAGCGAATTTTATCTTCATCAATTAATGATGAATAAATTAAGTAAAGACGTTTAAGTTCTAGTTGAACAATTTCTAATTGTCGTTTATTATTTTCAACTAAACGATCATGTTCAATTAAATGTTGAAGACAAATCATTTTCTTGCAATGATGAGCACAATCAAATAAACGAACAGCTTGTTCATTACATGATGGATCATCACATTGGCCAAACTCTGGCATGATTAATATTTCAAATTATTTAAACTACTGTTCGTCGAAAAAACTGGGGAAAAATGTGAAATAAGAAATAGACGAAAAGAAAAGGATAATTATGTCTATATGAATAGAACGAATGCATATTAACTAAACGTTTGAAATTTTCAATAGGAGAATAAATAAAAAATACTCTTTGCTATGTTATGTAAGCGAAAATTTTCTTCCTTTGATTATTCTGTGTGAGAAACGATATAGTTAATATAAATACTTTATTACTATATATATCTATTGTTCATTTGCATTCATACTAAAGGCTATATGATTTTTTAATTATGCTTCATTGTAAGAAGTTAAATGAGGGATGTGCATAAATAGGAAGTTGACTTCTAAAATTGTCTCGATACAATATTTGGTTGTATCGTAACAAATGATATTATTCATATTCCTAAACAGTAGATGACTAACTACTTATAATAAAAGATTGTATATATGTAAAGTGACATAAAATGCTACGGTAAATACAGTGAAACTTTTGTTAGTCAATACATTTTGTGAAGCGACTTTTGTTGTAAATGCATTTTCCAAAGGTGAATGTCCTTTTCTTTTTCTTTTTCTTATCCTTTTCATCATTTCTAGTTAATACACTAAAACTACTAAACATTCTTTGTTATAATTGTACATATTAGGAATGAAAATTCGAATATCTCTTTTGGTTCTGTATCCTATATTTTAAAACCAAGAAAAGAATATTAAAATAATTATGAAAAACAATCAAAATCACATTAATTATTAAAAATAGATTCAACATTTTTCGCGTAATAAAAATTGATAAATACATATCAGCCTGTCAAGTTAAAAAGAGCCATGCTTGATTAAAGTTGAGCAGAAGATTTCTCGAACATAAGACGACCGAACTTATTCATTCAAACTTTTTTTATAGGTTTTCGTATATTCTCTATTAATTGATGTCATTTGTTTTAGATAATGACAACAAGAAATAGTGGTTGCCAGCCAAAATCAAGCATTTTTTGAGTACAAATGATGAAAAAAAGGGCCTTATTGTCTATTATCATATTTCGAATACTACTTTATCATTTCAAAAAAATCGAAATAATAGTGGTGTTATCGAAGATTGAGCTACAGTTTGACAACAATGGATTACCTTCTACTGTTGTCAAAGCTAAAAAGAAACATATGCTTTTTCAAGGAGCTCAAAAAAAATGGATGAGTGCGTTACCGTAATATTTTGGTGATAACTCTTTGTAGGAACAATCTTCCAAAAAAAAACATTTCACCATCATCAGGTCTGTTGTCGTAGCTTCAAGCATCGATAAAAGCATTTTTGTTCAGAGTAAGAAAAGTTTTAGGAATGTGAGCTCTTTTGAGTGACTCTGATGGAAGACGTTCTTTTGAATGAGTGCCTTACCACGACTTTCTATCCGTTTAGAATCTTCGCAGTTCGACCAAATGAAATGAATATTTTAGTGAAGCTAGAACTTTTATATATCTTGCGGCAGTGTGAGTTTCAGCTCTTTGTCGCTTTAACTTACCGGGTTATAACAATCAGAAGGTGAAAAATGGGTAAGTTCATTACATGTGGACAGGCTGATATGTATTTAGAATAATTATAGAGCAATGTTCATCAAATTCACATATATCGAGATCGGAATCATATTATAGAACTTAATAGAAGAAGCAAAGTTTTATATTCTGTTGAACATTTTTTAGATTCATAAATATTCAAATGAAAGAAGACAAACAACTCAGAGAATGGTCTTTTATCATTTTAGAACTAGTAAAGAAGCTGACATTGTGAAACTTTTTTTTCATTTCCTAATAAAATATATGATATCTCTCATAGATGAACATTTTTCAATGTTGAAAACTTTTCAATAGTCTCGATGATGTTGATTTAGGAGAGATTTTACTGTAATGTAGATGCACGATAACTAGAGTATTATAATCATATATGTATAGCCAATCTATATCAGTTTATACTTTATGATAAGTAGGATAAACATATCGACATGAAACGAAAATGAACGAAGAAAAAACTAAGGAAATTTTCAATTAGACTTTTAATCGATTGGACAATTATTGTTTATTGATTGTCTTATTACAAAATATGACCACAAATGATAATTGCTCATCATTTTTACGATTTTTAAGTAAAATATTGATTTTTGTAGATACTATGAATTTTTTTGTGAATCATAGTTTCAAATGTACAAAAAAAAAGTTCTAAGAAAAAAACAAAGAATATTAATTGTTATTTCCATGTGTAACAGCCTACATATCATTAATGAATTACTCATTGCTATTATATGTAGAATAAGAAGATGGATGCCTTCAATGATTCATTTAATGGTAAAATTTAAAAAACATAATCAAATGCACATTAAGATATACTGACATAAAGAAAGAATAAGTGGGCGTTAGACACTATTCATTAGGTACATATTATACAAATGACTCATTTTTGCAATTTTTCTATTAGTATATATATATGTCACAGCATACGAATTCAACTATTTGTACACAATAAGTATTTATGGTTGATCTTATTGTTTATCTTATTCTTGTTTTCATAACAAGAATTGATGGATTTATATTTGATAGTAAAAAAGATCTAATTCTTTTACCATCAGTTGCTTTTCGAGATCATTCAAAAATATCTTCAACAGATTGGATTTTATCGAATCATGGATGGTATTATAAAGAAGATCCTCTACAAGCGGAACTATTGGAAAGCACATTAGAAAAAGTTATTGGAAAAGACTTAGATATAAATCGTATTAAATTATTCACTGCTGATGGACAAGAAAATGAAAATCTATGTATTTTTAATTTCAATCAATCAATTTGTACATATACCAATGATGAAGGTAGAATTAAAAATACATTTCAAATTAGTGAAAATGAAATTGATCGATTAGTTCAATCTGATGGTAATGGTGCTAAAATACTTTATCAACTATCAGTAGTAAACAAAAATATTCGAGCTACGGGTAAGATTATTTAGAAATCGAATTGTATAGATAAATGTGTTTTCATGTTTATTTTATAGGTGAAGTTTATTTATGTGATGATGATGGTATAACATTTCTAAGTGATATTGATGATACAATCAAAATTACGGGTGTTACATCATCAAAAGAAACACTTCAGAATACTTTTACTGATAATTATAAATCTGTTCCCGGTATGCCCGATATATATCGATATTGGCAAAAAAAGTATAACGCAACATTTGCATATTTAACAGCATCACCAGATCAACTTTATCCATTTTTACGTGAATTTTTCAATCGTGAAATATATCCATTAGGTTCATTTCATACGCGTCATTTTACATGGTTTGATAAGAACTTTATTTCATTTTTCATGTCTAATAGTTATATCACCAGTAAAACAGAAACAATATCAATGTTTTTAAATAATACATCAAAGCGTATATTCATTTTACTAGGTGATATATTTCAAAAAGATCCTGAAATATATGCAAGTATTTATATGAAATATCCTAATCGAATAGAAAAAATTTTTATTCGAAAATATAAAAATGATACAATTGGTCAACAACGTTTAGAACAAGTTTTTAATAATATACCTGAAAAAAAATGGGCAACATTTGAAATAGGTAGTGATTTACCAAAGGATATCTTTGTTATGTGAATTGTAATAAAATAAAAATTATAATAAACAAACAATAAATAATGTAGAATTATTTTTTTAGTTAAAACAATGGCACATAGAAGATGATGAGAGTTTATTTGTTATAATTGTTTCTGCAAAACTCATATATATTTTCGAAAACTTCAAAGGTTAATAAATCATCTCATGAAGTTAAAGGCAACTAAAAACTAATAGAAGAAAATATTTTTATTAGCTGCTTAGATTTTGAAAAACTTTGGTGAGTAACCTTCAGTATAATCCTTATATCTTTTGAACGGATACCATTATCGATCTTGACCTTACGCAAATCGATAGAGGAGACATTAAACTACATTTTAATTCTATGACTGTTGAAAAAGAAAATTCTTTTCAAAACGAATTAACCTCATCTACGAAAACTTAGAATGTATTGAAGAAGAAAATGAAATGAAACTTTCCATCAATTTTTGTAAAAAGATAGAGCAACTTTGACTCTAGATAGTACGAAAAACTCAAGTTATTTCTCTCTTTTTGTTTAAAAGTTATTCAAAAAATGTGCACAAGCATTTAATCCTAAAATGGACAATAGTAAAAATTATATTCAGTATAATTTAAAACGTAAGTTGCAATAATTTTGTTCTCTATTATTATTGATCAAATACGGTATTTACTTGTAGCTTTGAACAAGCCGAAAAACAAATATAATAATAATAATAATTGAAATGAAAAGTGAAGGTTCAGATCTCTAACAAAGATCATAAGAGATATTTTCATTTTATTTAATATTTTTCAAATACAACTATGTTATAATCTACTAAGAGTTTTCGTTTATAACCAAAAACAAAAAACAGTTTATCCAAATGTGCTAATAATATCAAATATAGTGAGCTTTCAACAAAAAAAAAATCATAATCTGACCTAATTCTGTTTAATATCTACAACAGTTGCTCGTTCTTTTTTTGAACGTCGTGATTTACTTGTTTCTCGTACTTTAAAATCTCGTTCTGGAATTAAATCTTCTTCATGTTTAATAACAACTTCACGTCCATGTGTTAATAAATTTTTCATATCATTTAATACTTGATTAATTTGTTTAGTTATTCCTAATGATTGCATATTTGATTGTTGTTGATTTTCATTTTCTGTTGGTGTTGGTGTTGATGTTGCTCGACGAGCTATTACATTGTTTGCTGTTCCATCTTCCTAAAACAATCGAAGGAATTCATTTTTTTTTTTATTATCACAAATCTATTGAGTTTACTTCATGTTCATTTACTGGAATGAAACGAATAGATTCATGTGAATAACTCTTCGATATACGATGTAATTCATCATCACTTGTTTCTTTTTCCTAAAAGTACTTCAGAGAAATAAAATTACAAAAAAAAAAATAAATAAATTTTACTTTTTGTGATTTATTATATTGACGTTGTAAAGTATTTAAGTTAAATTGTAATTGATTACTTATTTTTTTATCATGTCCATCACGAATAACTATTTGCTTAAGTGTATCATTTTCAGATTGAAATACTTTTAAAGAAAGAAATGATATATTTATTAATAAATTAGAAAAAAAAAAATTTTTACATTGTCTTTCATGCTGTAATTGATCACTTTGTATTTGTTTTTCTTTTAATGCAATTTCAAATAGTTGTTTCATTGATTGTAATTCTTGTTCATAACGTTTAATTGCTTCACGTTTTGTTTGTAATTCCTATAGAAAAATAAAATAAAATAATTTCAAAAAACCAAACAAGAAAAAAACCATTTTCTTTTTTTACATTTGCTAACATTTGGTTTTCAGCTTTTGATGCTTCATATTTAATTTGTAAATCTCTTGAATATTGTTTATTCAAACTACATTCATGTTCTAATTGATTATTTGTATTTGTTATTTGAAGTAATTTTGAACGATAATCTTGTATTTCAATTTTTATTTGTTGATTTTCATTTAGAAGTTGTTCATTAAAATCTTTTAATTGTTCTTCATTTGTTTTATGATTAGCTACTTCTGTACTATGTTGTTTTATAATACCAGTTAACATATTTGTTTGAAGTAATAATGCTTGATATTTATTACTTATATCATTATGTGCAGTTTCATATTGTTTGTTCTGATTTATAAGATGATGAATACGATCAGATAAATGATTACCTTCTAAAATATGTGCATGATCTAAATCTTCATGAATTATATCAAGTTGTTTTTTGAAATTTTCAAAATGAGAAATTTTTGATGAGACAATCGTTGACATTTCATCAAGAGTTAACTAGAAATAGAAAAGAAAAAAAAACAAATTTTAAGAAAAAAGAAAAATGAAAAATTGTTACATCCGATGAAATTTTTTCAGGTGAAATTAATGAAAACCATTGTTGTAATTCAGATCCAAAACGTTCACATTCAGCTAATTTAGGTAATGAAGATGCTAATTTTTGAGATAATTCTGTACATTCATTTGCTTTAGTTGTTATCGTTTGTTGTAAACGTTGAATTTGAAGCTAGACAGGTTAACGTTATTCAAAAAAAAATAAAATTATTTTATTTTTACTTGTAAGTTTGATATCTGTGTAAGAAGATCATGATTTTCTTTTATTTTAATTTGATTATTTTGTTCTATTTGTTTATTACGTGCTTGTAATGTTTCGAAACTTTGTTGAAAATGTTCAATCTAAACAATTAATGAGAATATATGTGAAATTGAGTGAGAATCCTATTTTCATGAATTAACAGGAAAAAACACAATATTAAAAAGTTCAAAAATCTATATATGAATTCGTTTCTTTCGGACCAATCTATTAAAACCGATACATTCTATACGATATGCGACAGTTTTACTTTAACTTCCTTAATTTTTCAAAAAAAAAACTCAGTAAATTTAAATATCTCAGATATTTATTATAGAGCTAGAGAGATATGGCCATAGAATAAGCAACATTTTTGACAGAAGCATGATAAATTGATAAAAGGAAATAAGTTTTTGATTCAATGAGAAAAGTTCTTTATATTTGATTTCTGATAGTGTTGATAAAAAAAATGATAATTCTTTTTATATTTTTATGTTGAACTCAGGAGAAGTTCGACAGATTCTGTGCTTGTAATTTCTGATTAATATTTAGTGACACCAAGAAAATTATACATGAACGAAAACAACAACTGAATAAATTTGCACGATTATAATGATAGTCAGAACTTTTCTATCATTGGCACCTAGTTGTGCATAAGTATATAAATAATACAGACAAAAAAAATTCAAAATACAACACTTACTATTCAGTCCAACATGAATGTCTAAAAAAGAGCACATACATACACAATGTAATTTCATATGATATACTTGTGAACGCGTTAGAAGGAAAATTTAAGGATATTATGATGGTCCGATAAATATGAGGTTAGTGATTTGATGCATGCTAATCACTGTGAAGTATTATTAAAAAGTGAATAAGATTTTTGAGTTCTCATAGTTTGGCTATACAGAAGAATGATTTCATTTTAATGAAAAGTAAAGAGTCATATATCTTGTATGAACACGTAGAAATATTGCATGAGAATGCTTGCAAGAATTGGAATCATGCATGCGCTTCTATTTTGTATTTATGCACAATTTATTATTGATATTTCAGATAACTTGCATGAGATGCATCAGATTAAAAAAACATATTTTGCAAGTTAACGAGAGTTTCTGAAAACTTTCCACAAATACAAGTGGTTTTTTAAGTGTAGTATTTGATTGTGATAAGAAATATTTGAACTAACTTGAAATGATGGAAATATCTATCTTCATATGTTCAAAAATCAATGTATAGAATATCAAAATAAAAATATTTCAATTTACTTTTAGATGAAGTGCATGTTGACGTGCTGCTTGTTCAGTTTCATTTTTAGTTAATCGATCATTGAGTTCATTAATTAACTCATCTTTTACTCGAAGTTTCTTTTCATATGCTTCTCTAAAAATGAAATATTGTTCAAAAATAGAAAACAACAAAAAAAACAAAACGAATAATTTACCTTAGTGTTAAAATTTCAACCTTATAGTTGTCTAATGAATGACCAATTTTTAATGATTCTTCACGTTGTTTAGCTAGACGTTTTTCGTAAGTTTGTCGAAGAGATATTGTACTACAAAAAAAAAAAAATAAATTTTATTACTTTTTGTTTTTGCATAGAAAACAGATCAAACGAATTACTTTTGTTCAAATGCTTCAGTTAATTGTGAAACAACATGTTTATTTTCATTTAGAATATGTTCTTGTTGTTCATTTAACTACATCAATTTGATGAAAGTTCATGATAAAATACTCGAAAAAAAAAAAAAAATAAAGAAAGCGATCTTACATCATTAATTCTTCGTTTAGCATGACTTATTTCACCTTCATAGTCTCGTAAACATTGTGTAATTCCAATAGAAAGTCTTGTATATGGATCCGATGATGTATTTTCATCATCCGGTGGTAAATAAGATTTTTCTTTAATATAAGAAAAAATAAAGAATTTAAAAAGTAAATTTTCAAACCTCGTTTTTTTTCTTCTTTTATAATTAATTGTCTAAGTGTTTCAACAAATAAATTTAATGATGATGATGATGATGATGACATAGTTTCAAGTTCCATTCCTGATGATTTTCTTTGAACAATACTTCTCATTGTTGATGGTATTGCAAGAGCATTTGATGTTTCTGGTAATGCTTGCAATTGCTGTCCAATTGAAAGAAATCTATTCATATAACTTTCACTTAAATTTCGAATTTTTCGTTCATTTTCACGCATTAAATTTGTTATTTTTGATGAATGATCACTATCATTGTCAATACTGATTGATGATGTTGATGTTATATCATCATCATCATCATCATCATTTGACTCGACCAGAGTTTTTATTCGTACTAACTGTTGATCATATTGTTTCTTCATGATTTTTCTTTTGATTCAAATAATTGAACAATTTTTAGAACAAAATTATTCGCCATTATCAAAATATGAAACTATGGTAATAAGGAGGCTTTCTTTCTCTTCAAAGG